TGCTGATGTTTCAGGTGTATATCAGTAGTGTCTTACTTTAAAGAGTCCTCTCCTGCTGATGTTCCGGTGTATATCAGTGTGTAGTGTCTCTACTAAAGAGTCCTCTCCTGCTGATGTTCAGGTGTAATCAGTACGTAGTGTCTCTTTAAAGAGTCCTCTCCTGCTGATGTTCAGGTGTATATCAGTATGTAGTGTCTCTACTTTAAAGAGTCCTCTTGCTGATGTTCAGGTGATATCAGATGTAGGTTGTCTCTACTTTAAAGAGTCCTTCCTGCTGATGTTCAGGTGTATATCAGTATGTAGTGTCTCTACTTTAAAGAGTCCTTCCAGTGATGTTCAGGTGTATATCAGTAGTGTCTCTACTTAAAGAGTCCTCTCCTGCTGATGTTCAGGTGTATATCAGTGTGTAGTGTCTCTATTTAAAGAGTCCTCTCCTGCTGATGTTCAGGTGTATATCAGTAGTGTCTCTACTTTAAAGAGTCCTCTCCTGCTGATGTTCAGGTGTATATCAGTATGTAGTGTCTCTACTTTAAAGAGTCCTCTCCTGCTGATGTTCAGGTGTATATCAGTATGTAGTGTCTCTACTTTAAAGAGTCCTCTCCTGATGATGTTCAGGTGTATATCAGTATGTAGTGTCTCTACTTTAAAGAGTCCTCTCCTGCTGATGTTCAGGTGTATATCAGTATGTAGTGTCTCTACTTTAAAGAGTCCTCTCTAGCTGATGTTCAGGTGTATATCAGTATGTAGTGTCTCTACTTTAAAGAGTCCTCTCCTGCTGATGTTCAGGTGTATATCAGTACGTAGTGTCTCTACTTTAAAGAGTCCTCTCCTGCTGATGTTCAGGTGTATATCAGTATGTAGTGTCTCTACTTTAAAGAGTCCTCTCCTGCTGATGTTCAGGTGTATATCAGGTGTAGTGTCTCTACTTTAAAGAGTCCTCTCCTGCTGATGTTCAGGTGTATATCAGTAGTGTCTCTACTTTAAAGAGTCCTCTCCTGCTGATGTTCAGGTGTATATCAGTATGTAGTGTCTCTACTTTAAAGAGTCCTCTCCTGCTGATGTTCAGGTGTATATCAGTATGTAGTGTCTCTACTTTAAAGAGTCCTCTCCTGCTGATGTTCAGGTGTATATCAGTATGTAGTGTCTCTACTTTAAAGAGTCCTCTCCTGCTGATGTTCAGGTGTATATCAGTATGTAGTGTCTCTACTTTAAAGAGTCCTCTCCTGCTGATGTTCAGGTGTATATCAGTATGTAGTGTCTCTACTTTAAAGAGTCCTCTCTAGCTGATGTTCAGGTGTATATCAGTATGTAGTGTCTCTACTTTAAAGAGTCCTCTCCTGCTGATGTTCAGGTGTATATCAGTATGTAGTGTCTCTACTATTAAAGAGTCCTCTCCAGCTGATGTTCAGGTGTATATCAGTAGTGTCTCTACTTTAAAGAGTCCTCTCCTGCTGATGTTCAGGTGTATATCAGTATGTAGTGTCTCTACTTTAAAGAGTCCTCTCTGCTGATGTTCAGGTATATCAGTAGTGTCTCTACTTTAAAGAGTCCTCTCCTGCTGATGTTCAGGTGTATATCAGTATGTAGTGTCTCTACTTTAAAGAGTCCTCTCCTGCTGATGTTCAGGTGTATATCAGTATGTAGTGTCTCTACTTTAAAGAGTCCTCTCCTGCTGATGTTCAGGTGTATATCAGTATGTAGGTCTCTACTTTAAAGAGTCCCTCTCCTGCTGATGTTCAGGTGTATATCAGTATATAGTGTCTCTACTTTAAGAGTCCTCTCCTGCTGATGTTCAGGTGTATATCAGTATGTAGTGTCTCTACTTTAAAGAGTCCTCTCCTGCTGATGTTCAGGTGTATATCAGTATGTAGTGTCTCTACTTTAAAGAGTCCTCTCCTGCTGATGTTCAGGTGTATATCAGTATGTAGTGTCTCTACTTTAAAGAGTCCTCTCCTTCTGATGTTCAGGTGTATATCAGTATGTAGTGTCTCTACTTTAAAGAGTCCTCTCCTGCTGATGTTTAGGTGTATTTCAGTATGTAGTGTATCTACTTTAAAGAGTCCTCTCCTGCTGATGTTCAGGTGTATATCAGTATGTAGTGTCTCTACTTTAAAGAGTCCTCTCCTGCTGATGTTCAGGTGTATATCAGTATGTAGTGTCTCTACTTTAAAGAGTCCTCTCCTGCTGATGTTCAGGTGTATATCAGTATGTAGTGTCTCTACTTTAAAGAGTCCTCTCCTTCTGATGTTCAGGTGTATATCAGTATGTAGTGTCTCTACTTTAAAGAGTCCTCTCCTGCTGATGTTTAGGGTGTATTTCAGTATGTAGTGTATCTACTTTAAAGAGTCCTCTCCTGCTGATGTTCAGGTGTATATCAGTATGTAGTGTCTCTACTTTAAAGAGTCCTCTCCTGCTGATGTTCAGGTGTATATCAGTATGTAGTGTCTCTACTTTAAAGAGTCCTCTCCTGCTGATGTTCAGGTGTATATACAGTATGTAGTGTCTCTACTTTAAAGAGTCCTCTCCTTCTGATGTTCAGGTGTATATCAGTATGTAGTGTCTCTACTTAAAGAGTCCTCTCCTGCTGATGTTTAGGTGTATTTCAGTATGTAGTGTATCTACTTTAAAGAGTCCTCTCCTGCGGATGTTCAGTGTATATCAGTATGTAGTGTCTCTACTTTAAAGAGTCCTCTCCTGCTGATGTTCAGGTGTATATCAGTATGTAGTGTCTCTACTTTAAAGAGGTCCTCTCCTGCTGATGTTCAGGTGTAAATATCAGTATGTAGTGTCCTCTACTTTAAAGAGTCCTCTCCTGCTGATGTTCAGGTGTATATCAGTATGTAGTGTCCTCTACTTTAAAGAGTCCTCTCCTGCTGATGTTCAGGTGTATATCAGTAATGTAGTGTCTCTACTTTAAGAGTCCTCTCCCTGCTGATGTTCAGGTGTATATCAGTATGTAGTGTCCTCTACTTTAAAGGAGTCCTCTCCTGCTGATGTTCAGGTGTATATCAGTATGTAGTGTCTCTACTTTAAAGAGTCCTCTCCTGCTGATGTTCAGGTGTATATCAGTATGTAGTGTCCTCTACTTTAAAGAGTCCTCTCCTGCTGATGTTCAGGTGTATATCAGTATGTAGTGTCTCTACTTTAAAGAGTCCTCTCCTGCTGATGTTCAGGTGTATATCAGTATGTAGTGTCTCTACTTTAAAGAGTCCTCTCCTGCTGATGTTCAGGTGTATATCAGTATGTAGTGTCTCTACTTTAAAGAGTCCTCTCCTTCTGATGTTCAGGTGTATATCAGTATGTAGTGTCTCTACTTTTAAAGAGTCCTCTCCTGCTGATGTTTAGGTGTATTCAGTATGTAGTGTATCTACTTTAAAGAGTCCTCTCCTGCTGATGTTCAGGTGTATATCAGTATGTAGTGTCTCTACTTTAAAGAGTCCTCTCCTGCTGATATTCAGGTGTATATCAGTATGTAGTGTCCTCTACTTTAAAGAGTCCTCTCCTGCTGATGTTCAGGTGTATATCAGTATGTAGTGTCTCTACTTTAAAGAGTCCTCTCCTGATGATGTTCAGGTGTATATCAGTATGTAGTGTCTCTACTTTAAAGAGTCCTCTCCTGCTGATGTTCAGGTGTATATCAGTATGTAGTGTCTCTACTTTAAAGAGTCCTGACCTTTGATGGAGATCTCTTTCCCCTGGAAGTCGTGCAGGTATCTCAGCAGAACTTCCTTCCAGTAGCTTCTATAGCTGATGAGTCCGAGGTCAGAGAGCGGTCTCTCAGGAGAGCCCACCTTCTCCTCCACCTTCGACAGCAGGTAGCCTGAAACACACACAAGATGGACGTCTTTAATTTCTTACTGTAAATGTGTTACTGTTAAAAATACTCTGGTAAAAGTAGAAGTACTGACTAAACTTCTTTACTCAAGTAAAAGTAAAGAGGCTTTGAAGTGTACTTCAGTAAAAAGTACCCATAACTAGCAGCTGTTTAAAGAGTACCTGACCTCCCTTTATATGAATAGAACAATAATGTCATTGTTAGCTAATGAATGTTTCCATGCTGAACAACGGCAACATGACAACATTTCCATTGGTCCCTCTTCTTTAGAGAAGACCAGGAAATGATGGATACACGGATCGTGTTCAAATCAATAGGCACGCAATGACTCTAAAGAATAATGATCACGCATCAAACACACATTCAGACTAAAGGAACCAGCTGTTTGGAAAATGAGAGAAGTAGAAAGTACAGGTATTTGAGTTCAACATGTAAGAAGTAGAAAGTACAGGTATTTGTGTTCAACATGTGAGAAGTAGAAAGTACAGGTATTTGTGTTCAACATGTGAGAAGTAGAAAGTACAGGTATTTGAGTTCAACATGTAAGAAGTAGAAAGTACAGGTATTTGTGTTCAACATGTGAGAAGTAGAAAGTACAGGTATTTGTGTTCAACATGTAAGAAGTAGAAAGTACAGGTATTTGTGTTCAACATGTAAGAAGTAGAAAGTACAGGTATTTGTGTTCAACATGTAAGAAGTAGAAAGTACAGGTATTTGAGTTCAACATGTAAGAAGTAGAAAGTACAGGTATTTGTGTTCAACATGTGAGAAGTAGAAAGTACAGGTATTTGTGTTCAACATGTAAGAAGTAGAAAGTACAGGTATTTGTGTTCAACATGTAAGAAGTAGAAAGTACAGGTATTTGAGTTCAAAGTGTAAGAAGTAGAAAGTACAGGTATTTGTGTTCAAAATGTAAGAAGTAGAAAGTACAGGTATTTGAGTTCAACATGTAAGAAGTAGAAAGTACAGGTATTTGAGTTCAACATGTAAGAAGTAGAAAGTACAGGTATTTGAGTTCAACATGTAAGAAGTAGAAAGTACAAGTATTTGTGTTCAACATGTAAGAAGTAGAAAGTACAGGTATTTGGGTTCAACATGTAAGAAGTAGAAAGTACAGGTATTTGAGTTCAACATGTGAGAAGTAGAAAGTACAGGTATTTGGGGTTCAACATGTAAGAAGTAGAAAGTACAGGTATTTGAGTTCAACATGTAAGAAGTAGAAAGTACAGGTATTTGAGTTCAACATGTAAGAAGTAGAAAGTACAGGTATTTGTGTTCAACATGTAAGAAGTAGAAAGTACAGGTATTTGAGTTCAACATGTAAGAAGTAGAAAGTACAGGTATTTGTGTTCAACATGTAAGAAGTAGAAAGTACAGGTATTTGAGTTCAACATGTAAGAAGTAGAAAGTACAGGTATTGAGTTCAACATGTAAGAAGTAGAAAGTACAGGTATTTGTGTTCAACATGTAAGAAGTAGAAAGTACAGGTATTTGAGTTCAACATGTAAGAAGTAGAAAGTACAGGTATTTGAGTTCAACATGTAAGAAGTAGAAAGTACAGGTATTTGGGTTCAACATGTGAGAAGTAGAAAGTACAGGTATTTGTGTTCAACATGTAAGAAGTAGAAAGTACAGGTATTTGAGTTCAACATGTAAGAAGTAGAAAGTACAGGTATTTGGGTTCAACATGTAAGAAGTAGAAAGTACAGGTATTTGAGTTCAACATGTAAGAAGTAGAAAGTACAGGTATTTGAGTTCAACATGTAAGAAGTAGAAAGTACAGGTATTTGGGTTCAACATGTAAGAAGTAGAAAGTACAGGTATTTGGGTTCAACATGTGAGAAGTAGAAAGTACAGGTATTTGAGTTCAACATGTAAGAAGTAGAAAGTACAGGTATTTGAGTTCAACATGTAAGAAGTAGAAAGTACAGGTATTTGAGTTCAACGTGTAAGAAGTAGAAAGTACAGGTATTTGTGTTCAACATGTAAGAAGTAGAAAGTACAGGTATTTGTGTTCAACATGTAAGAAGTAGAAAGTACAGGTATTTGTGTTCAACATGTAAGAAGTAGAAAGTACAGGTATTTGAGTTCAACATGTAAGAAGTAGAAAGTACAGGTATTTGGGTTCAACATGTAAGAAGTAGAAAGTACAGGTATTTGGGTTCAACATGCAAGAAGTAGAAAGTACAGGTATTTGAGTTCAACATGTAAGAAGTAGAAAGTACAGGTATTTGGGTTCAACATGTAAGAAGTAGAAAGTACAGGTATTTGGGTTCAACATGTAAGAAGTAGAAAGTAAAGGTATTTGAGTTCAACATGTAAGAAGTAGAAAGTACAGGTATTTGAGTTCAACATGTAAGAAGTAGAAAGTACAGGTATTTGGGTTCAACATGTAAGAAGTAGAAAGTACAGGTATTTGAGTTCAACATGTAAGAAGTAGAAAGTACAGGTATTTGAGTTCAACATGTAAGAAGTAGAAAGTACAGGTATTTGGGTTCAACATGTAAGAAGTAGAAAGTACAGGTATTTGTGTTCAACATGTAAGAAGTAGAAAGTACAGGTATTTGAGTTCAACATGTAAGAAGTAGAAAGTACAGGTATTTGTGTTCAACATGTAAGAAGTAGAAAGTAAAGGTATTTGTGTTCAACATGTAAGAAGTAGAAAGTACAGGTATTTGTGTTCAACATGTAAGAAGTAGAAAGTACAGGTATTTGAGTTCAACATGTAAGAAGTAGAAAGTATAGGTATTTGTGTTCAACATGTGAGAAGTAGAAAGTACAGGTATTTGGGTTCAACATGTAAGAAGTAGAAAGTACAGGTATTTGAGTTCAACATGTAAGAAGTAGAAAGTACAGGTATTTGGGTTCAACATGTAAGAAGTAGAAAGTACAGGTATTTGAGTTCAACATGTAAGAAGTAGAAAGTACAGGTATTTGAGTTCAACATGTAAGAAGTAGAAAGTACAGGTATTTGGGTTCAACATGTAAGAAGTAGAAAGTAAAGGTATTTGAGTTCAACATGTAAGAAGTAGAAAGTACAGGTATTTGAGTTCAACATGTAAGAAGTAGAAAGTACAGGTATTTGGGTTCAACATGTAAGAAGTAGAAAGTACAGGTATTTGAGTTCAACATGTAAGAAGTAGAAAGTACAGGTATTTGTGTTCAACATGTAAGAAGTAGAAAGTACAGGTATTTGTGTTCAACATGTAAGAAGTAGACAGGTATTTGTGTTCAACATGTAAGAAGTAGAAAGTACAGGTATTTGGGTTCAACATGTAAGAAGTAGAAAGTACAGGTATTTGTGTTCAACATGTAAGAAGTAGAAAGTACAGGTATTTGTGTTCAACATGTAAGAAGTAGAAAGTAAAGGTATTTGTGTTCAACATGTAAGAAGTAGAAAGTACAGGTATTTGTGTTCAACATGTAAGAAGTAGAAAGTACAGGTATTTGAGTTCAACATGTAAGAAGTAGAAAGTATAGGTATTTGTGTTCAACATGTGAGAAGTAGAAAGTACAGGTATTTGGGTTCAACATGTAAGAAGTAGAAAGTACAGGTATTTGAGTTCAACATGTAAGAAGTAGAAAGTACAGGTATTTGGGTTCAACATGTAAGAAGTAGAAAGTACAGGTATTTGGGTTCAACATGTAAGAAGTAGAAAGTAAAGGTATTTGAGTTCAACATGTAAGAAGTAGAAAGTACAGGTATTTGAGTTCAACATGTAAGAAGTAGAAGTACAGGTATTTGGGTTCAACATGTAAGAAGTAGAAAGTACAGGTATTTGAGTTCAACATGTAAGAAGTAGAAAGTACAGGTATTTGTGTTCAACATGTAAGAAGTAGAAAGTACAGGTATTTGTGTTCAACATGTAAGAAGTAGACAGGTATTTGTGTTCAACATGTAAGAAGTAGAAAGTACAGGTATTTGGGTTCAACATGTAAGAAGTAGAAAGTACAGGTATTTGTGTTCAACATGTAAGAAGTAGAAAGTACAGGTATTTGTGTTCAACATGTAAGAAGTAGAAAGTACAGGTATTTGTGTTCAACATGTAAGAAGTAGAAAGTACAGGTATTTGGGTTCAAAATCTAAGAAGTCAAAGTAAAAAGTCGTCAGAAAAATAAGTAGTGGAGTAAAGTAGTGATACCAGAAAGATGTACTTAAGTACAGTAACGAAGTATTTGCACTCCACCACTCTGCTAACCAGTGTTTCCTTTATCCCCTAAATGTCCTGCACTCTGTTCCTTTCTCACAATTTTTTTAATGCTATTTTATTTCTATTTGAGACGTTTACATTTTGGATTGTTCATTTCTAGTTTTTTTATTTCTCCAATGTACAATTCCTTGTCTTTTTATGCTGCTGCAACGCAAACATTTACCGCATTGGGATCAATAAAGTACTTCTTAAGCATCGTCTTCTCCCTCTAAGGAAATGTAGATACGGAGAAAACAAAGTAGGAAATTAATGACTTTAATAAAAAAACAACAAGAGTGTGTGAGGGCCTCCTAAATCTGAACACACACACACACACACACACACACACACACACACACACACACACACACACACTCACTGAAGTCGATGAGCATCTTGCCGTAGCCCTGCCTCATGTACTGAGGCATGGTGAGGATACACGACACGTTGTAGTTCAGGAAGGAGTTCTTCTCCTGCAGAGAGGGAACAGAAACACAGGAGATCAGCTGATTTGTAGGAGTTAATATCAGCTGAGGTGGAGGAAGTATTCACATCCTTTACTCAAGTATAAATGCCAACACCTAACTGTCAAAATACATTCAACAGACACTGGAATGGCTGCCAATCATGTCAAGATTCAGATTTAAGACAAATGTGGAGTGGTCTATTATTTTCTTCCAGAGCTGTAAGTGCACATATTCCATAAAAATAGTGTTCATTAAAATAACAAACTTATTTCTATCATTTATTTTTAAAGAAATTTCAATTTATTTATCTGTAATTCTATTTTTTTTTTACATTTTTTTTTCGGGGAGAACATTTTGAAATTTACAAGAATGTAATTTTTTGGGAAATATTTTACAATTTATGGATTTTTTAAAAAGTTAAGTTACTTTTCAGAAGCTAGGTCTTTTTCTAAAAATCTTGTGCTTCTTAATAAGGTAAGGTGAGATTTTTATAATTAGGTCATTTTTCGAAAAACACATTTTTTCGCAATGTGATTTCTTTAGGAAATAAATGAGATTTTTTTGAAAATGTTGTGATTTTTTAAGATCAAGTCAAGTAAAATACCTTATTTCTCTATTATTATCTCTATAAATGACAAATATTGCAGTAAACACACGTAGCTAAATGCTTTCCAGTACAGCTCCTGACTGAACGATATCTGTCTATGTTGATGTTACACATGGAGCTGCACATTTCAGACTTGATCTGACCATTAAAGTATTATCGTGCCGTACGTGCTGGCAGGTTCCTCTCACCTTGGAGAAGTACCCCACCAGGTGGCAGCCTGTCGAGTCGGATTCTGTCATGGCGTAGAACAGAAACGGCTCCACGTCGTAATAAAGAGTCTTGTGATCCAGGAACAGCTTCGCCAGCAGACACAGGTTCTGACAGTAGATCTGGAACAAAACATTCACAGTTCACGGGAATAAAGTAGGATTTTATACATATCTTTATACATATTTGTATTTATTTGTATTCGGGATTGTGGGAAACGGTATTTCGATCTCTCTGTCTGTACACACAAACTGAAAGATTGACAGTAAAGTAAAGAATTAGATCATCTCCTTTCACACATCCCTGAAACTGGCCCTCCCGCTGTACTTCTCGGAGACTTCAACCTCCAGACGGGGAAGATAGACGAACTAACATCTCTGTTAACCACCTTTGCTTTCTCACTGTCTCCGTCCCCACCAACTCATAAAGTTGGCAATGTCCTTGATCTCATATTCTCAAGGAACTGCGCTACTTCTAACTTCTCTGTAAACCCGCTCCACACATCCGATCACTTCTTCATTTCATTCTCTCTATCCCTTTCCAAACATAACAAACTCATCTCTTCTCATCCTGCACTTGTCCGCCGTAACCTTCGCTCCCTCTCTCCCTCTACCTTTGCCTCGTCGGTGCTCTCAGCCCTCCCTTCCTCTGACTCGTTCCAACTCCTGCCTCCAAACTCTGCTGCAGAAACTCTCCTCTCTACTCTCTCATCCACTCTGGACTCGCTCTGTCCTCTCACATCTCGGCAGGCTCGTCAGTCCCCTCCTGCTCCCTGGCTAAATGATGCACTGCGTGCTAATAGAACCGTCCTTCGGGCAGCAGAGCGGAAACGGTGGAAATCCAAACACCGTGACGACCTCCTAACCTATCAGGCTCTCCTCTCCTCTTTCTCTGCTTCGATCTCTCAGGCAAAAAGCACTTTCTTTCAAGATAAGATCCAATCTTCCTATTCCAAACCTAAAAAACTATTTTCCATCTTCTCCACCCTCTTGGACCCTCCAAAGCTCCTCCCCCCTCCTCACTTCTGTCAAGCGACTTTGTTACCCACTTTGAAAAAAAGGTTAATGATATTCGCTCTTCTTTTTCTGACTCACCTTTACTCACCGCTGGGTCACCAGACCCTTCTTCCACCAACACACTAACCTCCTTTTCCCCTCTCTCTCCAAGTGAGGTTCTTACCCTCATTACCTCTGCCCGCCCTACCACCTGTCCTCTGGACCCTATCCCTTCAAAACCTCCTTCAGACTATCGCTCCTGATATTCTACCGTTTCTCACCCATTTCATCAACACTTCTCTAACTTCTGGTCACTTTCCAAACAGTCTCAAGGAGGCAAGAGTAAACCCTCTCCTAAAGAAACCCACTCTCAACCCGTCTGATGTTATAAACTACAGGCCTGTCTCTCTCCTCCCCGTTCCTGTCTAAATCACTTGAACGCGCTGTCTTTAAACAACTCTCCTGTTATCTCAATCAGAACAACCTTCTGGATCCGCACCAGTCTGGTTTCAAGGCAGGTCACTCCACAGAAACTGCTCTCATTGCTGTCACGGAGGAACTGCACACTGCCAAAAGCAGCATCCCTCTCCTCTGTCATCATCCTATTGGACCTGTCTGCTGCATTCGACACGGTGAATCCATCAGATCCTCCTTCGCACTCTCCAAAAACTTGGAGTTTCAGGCTCTGCACTTTCCCTCCTCACCTCATACCTCAAAGACCGTACCTACAGGGTGACTTGGAGAGGGTCATGAGTCCGACCCTTGTCAATTAACTACAGGGCTCTGTTCTTGGTCCCCTCCTCTTCTCCCTGTACACAAACTCAGCTCGGATCTAGTCATTAGCCCGCATGGTTTTTCATTACCACTGCTACGCTGACGACACCCAATTAATTCTGTCCGTTCCCCGCTCAGAGACCCAGGTCGTCGCACGCATCTCTGCTTGTCTAGCTGACATCTCTCAGTGGATGTCTGCTCACCACCTCAAGCTCAACCTTGACAAGACTGAGCTGCTCTTCCTCCCGGGAAAAGATTGTCCCACTCTTGACCTAACAATCAACATCGGCACCTCAGTTGTTTCCCCGACTCAGACTGCAAGGAATCTGGGTGTGACCCTAGATAACAACCTGTCCTTCACTGCAAACATCGCTGCTACAACCCGCTGCTGCAGATACACGCTTTACAACATCAGGAAGATACGTCCCCAGCTGACTCAGAAAGCGACTCAGGTTCTGGTCCAGGCTCTCGTCACCTCACGCCTAGACTACTGCAACTCCCTCCTGGCTGGTCTACCTGCATGTGCCATCCGACCTCTGCAGCTCATCCAGAATGCAGCGTCTCGTCTGGTCTTCAACCTTCCTAAATTTTCCCACACCACTCCGCTCCTCCGCTCCCTTCACTGGCTTCCGGTAACTGCTAGAATCCACTTCAAGACACTGGTACTTGCGTACCATGCTGCGAATGGATCTGGCCCTTCCTACATCCAGGACATGGTTAAACCGTACACCCCAGCGCGTGCACTACGCTCTGCATCAGCCAAACGACTCGCTGCACCCTCGCTGCGAGGGGGATCCAAGTTCCCATCGGCAGAAAACACGTGGGTTTGCTGTCCTGGCTCCAAGATGGTGGAATGAGCTCCCCATTGACATCAGGACAGCAGATAGCTTGCACATCCTTCCGGCGCAAACTGAAAACTCATCTCTTTCGACTCCACTTCGAGCGATTAGAACTATTAACAAAGCACTTATATACTAATAAAGGGCTGGCTTATCTAAAGCCAGTTGAGTAGCACTTGAAATGTTTGGCTCTATGAAACCTGATGTACTTTATGATTCTGTTTTCTTCAAGGTTGTGTCTTCCTGGTCGAATGTACTTATTGTAAGTCGCTTTGGATAAAAGCGTCAGCTAAATGCAATGTGATGTAATGTAAAAAGTTGACTGACTTTGATTATTGTAACTGCAGCTAGTAATTCAATCTGTCAAAAAGGATACACAAGTAAAGTACCTCAAAGTTATACTTAAGTACAGTTTTTGAGTAAAAGCGGTTACTTTCTAAAACTGCCTTTTGTAAACATCTCTGGGTTTCACCATAAATCCCCTCCAGCAGTCACAACATAACGAGATCACAGAGTGTGTGTGTGTGTGTGTGTGTGTGTGCGTGTGTTCTACATCTCATTAACTACAGGAGGATTGTATTGAGGGGGAAACCATTGGTGTTAAACTGGTTTTAAAGAGGAAACACTACAGAAAAACTAGGATAAAGTGCAGGTTCTTACCGAACAAACATCAAACTAAAAGGACTTGAAGGTAGCATCACCTCTCCTACACACACACACACACACACACACACACACACACACACACACACACACACACACACACACACACACACACACACACACACACACACACACACACACACACACACACACACACACACACACACACACACACACACACACACACACACACACACACACACACACACACACACACACACACACACACACACACACACACACACACACACACACACACACACACACACACACACACACACACACACACACACACACACACACACACACACACACACACACACACACACACACACACACACACACACACACACACACACACACACACACACACACACACACAGGAACATATTTCCGACCCCTTTGAGTGTAAAAAGGGATTCTGACTGAATTTGGAGTTTATTCTGACACTAAATTCAAATAAATGGTAGAACTAAAAGAAAATGTAAAAACTAAATAAATATTCATGAAATCATCGTCACGGCCAGTTTACTGAGATCTTTTAGTAATTGTAGGTGCGAGTAGCATATTTTGGCAAAACAACTTTTACATTTCAGTTTGAAACTGTTCGCTCTCCTGTTATTCATGGAGCACTTTGTTTTCGGGTAACTATTTTCATGCCTAATATATTTTGTTTTGAAAAATTCTAATTTAACGATTTTCTGAAAATTAGGTCATTTTTGGAAACATAGCGGCCCGTCCACACGGCTCCATCGCGTGCTTCAACGGAGACGCTTCCCCTTCACTTTGAACGGGGCGACGTCACGCTTTGCCGAACTGCATTGTGGTTCCGTCGCTTTGCCTCCGTTGCTCGCTTCGAAAGTCTACTTTTCAAACGTCGACGGAAGCGCCAGCCAATCAAATCATATGCCAGTACAAGCGCTATGCCAATCAAACCTCGAAATGATGTTTTTGGGAAATTTGAAGTCATTTTTAAAATGAAGTTTTTTCTTCTTAAAGGAGACATGTCATGCTTTTCCGGTTATTACCCGTCCCCTTGTGTTATGAAGGTTTTTATGCATGTAAGCGGTGTGCAGAGTCAAAACCCTCAAAGTACACCCTGTAGCGAGTAAAACTCTAAAACAGAAAATACCTCCCCAAAACGCCTCGTTGGTGAAACGTCATTGTCCATTTTTTACTTCCTGGGTGCTGTGTCGTAGAAGCACCCAGTAGCCACGCCCAGAACTATGACGCGATACGGTCATGCGGTAGCCGGAACCAAATGGGCCAATCCGTGGAGCCGTTACGTTACGTCCACGGAGCTCAGCGCGATTCACAACGTCCCGACTGGTCCCGACCAATCGGAGCACACTGGGCTCACAGGGAGGGGGGGGGGCAAGAGCTGCAACGAGCCGTTTAGTGGAGAGAGTGAATACACGTAGTTTACAGAGATGCTGTGAGAAACCAATGTGAGTTTGAAAAATTGCACAGTATTTTTCTATTCTAGTCGACCTCAACTATGGAATTATGATCAGTGGAAATGGCCGTGACACCTCTCCTTTAAGTCAAAAAAATGGATTTCCCGAAAATGTTGTTATTTTTTTTAGGTAATGTTATGGTTTGATAATGAACTCAAATTGGTGAAAAATATTAGTGTTTTATGACTATTCTATTTTTATTTTCTCCTTCCTCTCCCCTCTCCCCTCTCTCCTTCCTCCTTCCCCTCTCCCCTCTCTCCTTCCTCTCTCTCCTCTCTCCTCTCTCTCCTCTCCTCTCTCCTCTCCCCTCTCTCCTTCCTCCTTCCTCCTTCCTCTCTCCTTCCTCCTTCCTCCTTCCTCTCCCCTCTCTCCTCTCTCCTCTCCCCTCTCCTCTCCCCTCTCTTCTCTCCTACAAAAATGTAGTTTCTCCGTAAGGGGATTTTTCTATAAATAAGTAGTTTACAAAATAAACTAGATTTCTCAAATCTTAATTTCTGTAAATGTCCTGAGGTGATCTGTTAACGATGGAGTTTGAATCTGATCTTTCACCTTGTTCTTCTTCCCGTCCACCTCGAACACGGAGATGTTTCCCTTCCTGTAGATCTCGTCTCCTGGAGGATGCTTCCACACACACTTCGCCTGCGAGGAAACGAGATAACAGAGAGTAAAATCAGGTTCATTTATTCACAAGAGGAACATTTTCCACTTTGAGTGTCAAATAATGCACATGTTGTATTGAAATCTATATCAAGATGGGATAGGGCTGCTTCTATCTGATAGGAGTGGATCACTTTGCATCAGACGTTTCATTTCTAGTATTGTTTATTTCTACTCTTTAATTTCTACTTGTGTGCAATGCCTTGTTTTTAAGCTGCTGCAACGCAAACATTTCCCAATTAGGGATCAATGAAGATCCTCTTATCCTTTATCCTCATCTTATTGTTATGAATGATCCTGCCTTCAGGGAGGAGGCTCCGCAGCCCGAGGCCGAGCACTGCTCCACTAAAGAACAGCTTTACCCCCGGCTGTCAGGAGGCTGAACTCTCTCTCCTTCACTCCCCACTCTCCCCACACACTCAGGCCCCGGCCGCACGAGGACGGAAACGGTCGTTTGCGTTACTGTTTAGTGTCGTATAGACCGTTCGGCCACACGAGGACGACCGAATACGGCACTAAACGACGAACTGCATTGTGGTTCCGTCGCTTTGCCTCCGTTGCTCGCTTCGAAAGTCTACTTTTCAAACGTCGACGGAAGCGCCAGCCAATCAAATCATATGCCAGTACTGCGGAAACGATAACGGGTCCCAAGGTGGATAGAACAGCATACGCATCGCTCTGGGGGGTCAAACGGCTCCGTGTGTACGCCCTATACGATCATTTTCTGATAATGATGAGGCAATAGCCCCGCCTCTCCCCACCTCTGCTGCTCACCCCCGCGTCAAAGTAAACTGCACACTGAATTCAGATTATTTATCTTTCTCTCGATATGGACATAAACGCGAGTGAAGTCTAATCTGACAGGACGGAGACACCTCTCAAACCTAAACTAGTTATAAATATGTTTATTTGTACTGTCGGCCGGGTCACTCATTACTGGATCAGCTGCTGCATGAGACAGACACTGGCGCTGTCCGAAGAGAGGGTGGAAAAAGAGAGGCTCCATGTATTTATATTATTATATTATATAGAGTCGTTATTCATTTGTTTTAAAGCTCAATAAATAACAAAGAAGACCTTTGACCGGCACTTTTATAATGTTGTCGGAAGATTTAATCTTTAATTCACGTTGACTGGCGAAAAACTCTGCCCGGTTCCCTCGGCCCCCACCGCGGAGAATAAACAGAAGGGCAACCATGACAACCAAGCTTCTTCTGCTTCTGTGGAGGAAGTTACAGCGCCACGTGCAGGCTCCTGCATGTACTGCAGCTTCTCCAGCGGTTGGAGCTAAACGGAGCGGTCTCGTGTGGACAGACACTATCCGGTGAATATTGCGTGTGGACGGAAGCTTTTTTGCGATTGCGTTAATCCTATGCGTTTAGCCGTTTTCGTCCTCGTGTGGCCGGGGCATCAGACACTCAAATCCAGCACCAGATACTTTTGTACGCTGCTATGGACAATCTTGCACTAACGTACATTCCCTAACATATTGAAGTGACTGTTATTTTGTATATATTGATTGTTGTGTTTTATCTTAATGTCTGCATATGTGTAAATGTGTCTGTTGAGTGTATATATAGAGGATATATATATTTATACATATTTGTATTATTGTATTTTTGATTCGGGATTGTTGGAAACGTTATCTCGATCTCTCTGTTTGTACAAACACACAGAAAAATGTACATTAAAGTTGACTTTGATCATTCTTGCCAATAGGTTGAATCTACGTCAAATTAATCGCTATTACATATTTTTTCCAGAACATCCAGCTGGTGTTTTAAATGTGGCCTTTTATTGGTTTTGACCTGTAGGCTCAGAAGCATGTCTTCAGTTTCTCTGCCTCTATAGAGTCTATCAAGTGATTCAGTCTCTCTCAACAGAGTCTGGTCCAGGGTTACACTTCTGAGTATCCTGAGGCTGAGAGAGAGTGAGGTTAGAGTTATACACTCAGATTTATATTCTGTCAACGTCCATTTTCACTCCACAGCTTCAATCGTTCTCCATCAGAGTCTTTAGTCTGACTCTCATGAAAACAAATCATCTCCACAGTCGAGAGAAACTTTAAAGAACAGCATAACTCTTTCTATACTGTATACTTTAAAGTATACTGATATACACCTGAACATCAGCAGGAGAGGACTCTTTAAAGTAGAGACACTACATACTGATATACACCTGAACATCAGCAGGAGAGGACTCTTTAAAGTAGAGACACTACATACTGATATACACCTGAACATCAGCAGGAGAGGACTCTTTAAAGTAGAGACACTACATACTGATATACACCTGAACATCAGCAGGAGAGGACTCTTTAAAGTAGAGACACTACATACTGATATACACCTGAACATCAGCAGGAGAGGACTCTTTAAAGTAGAGACACTACACACTGATATACACCTGAACATCAGCAGGAGAGGACTCTTTAAAGTAGAGACACTACACACTGATATACACCTGAACATCAGCAGGAGAGGACTCTTTAAAGTAGAGACACTACACACTGATATACACCTGAACATCAGCAGGAGAGGACTCTTAAAGTAGAGACACTACATACTGATATACACCTGAACATCAGCAAGAGAGGACTCTTTAAAGTAGAGACACTACATACTGATATACACCTGAACATCAGCAGGAGAGGACTCTTTAAAGTAGAGACACTACATACTGATATACACCTGAACATCAGCAGGAGAGGACTCTTTAAAGTAGAGACACTACACACTGATATACACCTGAACATCAGCAGGAGAGGACTCTTTAAAGTAGAGACACTACACACTGATATACACCTGAACATCAGCAGGAGAGGACTCTTTAAAGTAGAGACACTACATACTGATATACACCTGAACATCAGCAGGAGAGGACTCTTTAAAGTAGAGACACTACATACTGATATACACCTGAACATCAGCAGGAGAGGACTCTTTAAAGTAGAGACACTACATACTGATATACACCTGAACATCAGCAGGAGAGGACTCTTTAAAGTAGAGACACTACATACTGATATACACCTGAACATCAGCAGGAGAGGACTCTTTAAAGTAGAGACACTACATACTGATATACACCTGAACATCAGCAGGAGAGGACTCTTTAAAGTAGAGACACTACATACTGATATACACCTGAACATCAGCAGGAGAGGACTCTTTAAAGTAGAGACACTACACACTGATATACACCTGAACATCAGCAGGAGAGGACTCTTTAAAGTAGAGACACTACACTACTGATATACACCTGAACATCAGCAGGAGAGGACTCTTTAAAGTAGAGGCACTACATACTGATATACACCTGAACATCAGCAGGAGAGGACTATTTAAAGTAGAGGACACTACATACTGATATACACCTGAACATCAGCAGGAGAGGACTATTTAAAGTAGAGACACTACATACTGATATACACCTGAACATCAGCAGGAGAGGACTCTTTAAAGTAGAGACACTACATACTGATATACACCTGAACATCAGCAGGAGAGGACTCTTTAAAGTAGAGACACTACATACTGATATACACCTGAACATCAGCAGGAGAGGACTCTTTAAAGTAGAGACACTACATACTGATATACACCTGAACATCAGCAGGAGAGGACTCTTTAAAGTAGAGACACTACACACTGATATACACCTGAACATCAGCAGGAGAGGACTCTTTAAAGTAGAGACACTACATACTGATATACACCTGAACATCAGCAGGAGAGGACTCTTTAAAGTAGAGACACTACATACTGATATACACCTGAACATCAGCAGGAGAGGACTCTTTAAAGTAGAGACACTACTACCTGAACATCAGCAGGAGAGGACTCTTGAAAGTAGAGACACTACATACTGATATACACCTGAACATCAGCAGGAGAGGACTCTTTAAAGTAGAGACACTACATACTGATATACACCTGAACATCAGCAGGAGAGGACTCTTTAAAGTAGAGACACTACATACTGATATACACCTGAACATCAGCAGGAGAGGACTCTTTAAAGTAGACACACTACATACTGATATACACCTGAACATCAGCAGGAGAGGACTCTTTAAAGTAGAGACACTACATACTGATATACACCTGAACATCAGCAGGAGAGGACTCTTTAAAGTAGAGACACTACACACTGATATACACCTGAACATCAGCAGGAGAGGACTCTTTAAAGTAGAGACACTACACACTGATATACACCTGAACATCAGCAGGAGAGGACTCTTTAAAGTAGAGACACTTCATACTGATATACACCTGAACATCAGCAGGAGAGGACTCTTTAAAGTAGAGGCACTACATACTGATATACACCTGAACATCAGCAGGAGAGGACTCTTTAAAGTAGAGACACTACATACTGATATACACCTGAACATCAGCAGGAGAGGACTCTTTAAAGTAGAGACACTACATACTGATATACACCTGAACATCAGCAGGAGAGGACTCTTTAAAGTAGAGACACTACATACTGATATACACCTGAACATCAGCAGGAGAGGACTCTTTAAAGTAGAGACACTACATACTGATATACACCTGAACATCAGCAGGAGAGGACTCTTTAAAGTAGAGACACTACATACTGATATACACCTGAACATCAGCAGGAGAGGACTCTTTAAAGTAGAGACACTACATACTGATATACACCTGAACATCAGCAGGAGAGGACTCTTTAAAGTAGAGACACTACACACTGAAACTCTTTAAAGTGAGTAAAGAGCTGCCTCACCATGTGCCTGCGCAGAATGGTCTGGCTCTTCATGTATTTCAGGCAGAATTCACACATATAGAGTCGCCCCAGACGGGCGTATTCCTCCGGATATGGCGAATGGTACCAGGTGTCCAACTCGTAACGGCCGAAAACGATGGTCTTTATCATGTTGTTTCCCTCTGAAACCTGGCCACTCAGACGCAGCTTCTCCTGATGAAGAGGGAGAGGAGGAGGAAGAGGAGGAGAGAGGATCCTAGTTATTCAGGGCAGAGGATCAGATGAACCAGAGATAAGCCTCAGAGGAGGCAGCAAGCCACACAAAGATAAAGAATATCAGGATGGAGATGAGACCGAGGAACAGGTAGGGATACGCTTTAGATCAAGATACGATTTAATGCAGGGTTCTTCATGTCTGGAAGGATCTCTAAGCTGTTCCCCGTGGCAAACATAATATAATATAATTTAACATAATATAATTTAACATAATATAATTTAATATAATATAATTTAAAATAATATAATAACACATCATTTAAAGGTGGGGTAGGTAAGTTTGAGAAACCGGCTCGAGATCGCTATAATTTGAAAATACACAACCGGAGAAAATCTGCCACTTCCTCACAGAGCCCCTCCTCCAACACACACGAACGCGCACATGACCAATGAGGGCACGAGATAAGTGTGTGCCCCGATGGAAGGCTGACAGGCAGGTAGGCCATCCAGTTACTTTAGCCGGCCCGGCTAAACGGATTGGATGTACTTTTTACAGCGCCACGGCTTCCACTGATGACTTTTTTTTATGGATCTTTTGTCAAAGCACTTCAGATATTCATTGCTATCGGGATGTTAAGAGCATTCCATGGAATATAACAAAAAGTGTATCTCGAGCCGTTTTCTGAAACTTACCTACCCCACCTTTAATTTAATATAACATGACACAATATAATTTTAAATAATATAATTTAAAATATAATTTAAAATAATATAACATAATTTAATTTAAAATAATGTAATGTAATTTCATTTAAAATAATGTAATTTTAAATATAATAACATAATTTAAAATAATGTAATATAATTTAAAATAATATAATAAAACATCATTTAATTTAATATAACATAACACAATATAATTTAAAATAACATAATTTAAAATATAATTTAAAATATAATTTAAAATAATATAACATAATTTAATTAAAAAATAATGTAATTTAATTTAATTCAAAATAATATAATATATTTAAAAATAATATAATACAATATAATTTAAAATAATTAAATATAATATAATACAATTTAAAATAATATACTATAATAAGATGATGTTAAAATATTGCAATTTTTGTGATTCTTTGACTTGAATCATGTTATTTTAAAGAAACTAGTAATTATTTATATTTTATATAAAAGTTTACTGATGTATAATTATCTTTATTTTATTTTTTAAATGGCTTTACTTTGTAGGGAGATGGAACGATTAAAATGCCTGACTGAAATATATTGATTGTTCTGAATGTATGGGTACGCCTGATTGCACAAACAATGCCATTTAAACCATAAAACAGCTTTTATGTGTATCTGAAAGCTATATCATCTTATAAATCACACATTTTCTATAATGTCATGTGTATATAACCGCCTAAAACACATCTCTGTGCTTGTTTAGAGTAAATAACAACACCTTGGTATCAGAATGAGTCACAACAGAGAAAAGCAAACACAGAGTAACAGGAAGTGATCGTCCAAACTACCAAAAATATGTCAGACTCCTCCTGAGGCTGCAGAGGAGGCTGTGCTGACTGAAACAGAGAAGAAGAGGAGTGATGCAGAAAGGGGGGAGGAGGCAAGGAGATAAGGAGGGAAGGGGGTAAGGGAGCGAGGTGAGGATGAGTTTTCTCTCTTACAAGATCCTCCGATGCACGTGCCTGGGCTTTCCGGAATAATTCCAGATCGTATTCACTCGTGATGTTTTCCAGCAGCGGCTCACGACTCGAACCCAGACTCTGACGGTGGTCCTGGAGCAGGAGAGAGAACTCTTTAAAGTAGAAACACTACATACTGATATACACCTGAACATCAGCAGGAGAGGACTCTTTAAAGTAGAGACACTACATACTGATATACACCTGAACATCCGCAGGAGAGGACTCTTTAAAGTAGAGACACTACATACTGATATGCACCTGAACATCAGAGGAGAGGACTCTTTAAAGTGGAGACACTACATACTGATATGCACCTGAACAACAGAGGAGAGGACTCTTTAAAGTAGAGACACTACATACTGATATACACCTGAACATCAGCAGGAGAGGACTCTTTAAAGTAGAGTCACTACATACTGATATACACCTGAACATCAGCAGGAGAGGACTCTTTAAAGTAGAAACACTACATACTGATATACACCTGAACATCAGCAGGAGAGGACTCTTTAAAGTAGAGACACTACATACTGATATACACCTGAACATCAGCAGGAGAGGACTCTTTAAAGTAGAGACACTACATACTGATATACACCTGAACATCAGCTGGAGAGGACTCTTTAAAGTAGAGACACTACATACTGATATACACCTGAACATCAGCAGGAGAGGACTCTTTAAAGTAGAGTCACTACATACTGATATACACCTGAACATCAGCAGGAGGGGACTCTTTAAAGTAGAGACACTACATACTGATATACACCTGAACATCAGCAGGAGATGACTCTTTAAAGTAGAGACACTACATACTGATATACACCTGAACATCAGCAGGAGAGGACTCTTTAAAGTAGAGACACTACATACTGATATACACCTGAGCATCAGCAGGAGAGGACTCTTTAAAGTAGAGACACTACATACTGATATACACCTGAACATCAGCAGGAGAGGACTCTTTAAAGTAGAGACACTACATACTGATATACACCTGAACATCAGCAGGAGAGGAGTCTTTCAAGTAGAGACACTACATACTGATATACACCTGAACACCAGCAGGAGAGGACTCTTTAAAGTAGAGACACTACATACTGATATACACCTGAACATCAGCAGGAGAGGACTCTTTAAAGTAGATACACGACATACTGATATACACCTGAACATCAGCAGGAGAGGACTCTTTAAAGTAGATACACGACATACTGATATACACCTGAACATCAGCAGGAGAGGACTCTTTAAAGTAGATACACGACATACTGATATACACCTGAACATCAGCAGGAGAGGACTCTTTAAAGTAGAGACACTACATACTGATATACACCTGAACATCAGCAGGAGAGGACTCTTTAAAGTAGAGACACTACATACTGATATACACCTGAACATCAACAGGAGAGGACTCTTTAAAGTAGAGACACTACATACTGATATACACCTGAACACCATCAGGAGAGGACTCTTTAAAGTAGAGACACTACATACTGATATACACCTGAACATCAGCAGGAGAGGACTCTTTAAAGTAGAGTCACTACATACTGATATACACCTGAACATCAGCAGGAGAGGACTCTTTAAAGTATAGACGCTACATACTGATATACACCTGAACATCAGCAGGAGAGGACTCTTTAAAGTAGATACACGACATACTGATATACACCTGAACATCAGCAGGAGAGGACTCTTTAAAGTAGATACACGACATACTGATATACACCTGAACATCAGCAGGAGAGGACTCTTTAAAGTAGATACACGACATACTGATATACACCTGAACATCAGCAGGAGAGGACTCTTTAAAGTAGAGACACTACATACTGATATACACCTGAACATCAGCAGGAGAGGACTCTTTAAAGTAGAGACACTACATACTGATATACACCTGAACATCAACAGGAGAGGACTCTTTAAAGTAGAGACACTACATACTGATATACACCTGAACACCATCAGGAGAGGACTCTTTAAAGTAGAGACACGACATACTGATATACACCTGAACATCAGCAGGAGAGGACTCTTTAAAGTAGATACACGACATACTGATATACACCTGAACATCAGCAGGAGAGGACTCTTTAAAGTAGAGACACTACATACTGATATACACCTGAACATCAGCAGGAGAGGACTCTTTAAAGTAGAGACGCTACATACTGATATACACCTGAACATCAGCAGGAGAGGACTCTTTAAAGTAGAGACACTACATACTGATATACACCTGAACATCAGCAGGAGAGGACTCTTTAAAGTAGAGACACTACATACTGATATACACCTGAACATCAACAGGAGAGGACTCTTTAAAGTAGAGACACTACATACTGATATACACCTGAACACCATCAGGAGAGGACTCTTTAAAGTAGAGACACTACATACTGATATACACCTGAACATCAGCAGGAGAGGACTCTTTAAAGTAGAGACACTACATACTGATATACACCTGAACATCAGCAGGAGATGACTCTTTAAAGTAGAGACACTACATACTGATATACACCTGAACATCAACAGGAGAGGACTCTTTAAAGTAGAGACACTACATACTGATATACACCTGAACACCATCAGGAGAGGACTCTTTAAAGTAGAGACACTACATACTGATATACACCTGAACATCAGCAGGAGAGGACTCTTTAAAGTAGAGACACTACATACTGATATACACCTGAACACCATCAGGAGAGGACTCTTTAAAGTAGAGACACTACATACTGATATACACCTGAACATCCGCAGGAGAGGACTCTTTAAAGTAGAGTTACTACATACTGATATACACCTGAACACCATCAGGAGAGGACTCTTTAAAGTAGAGACACTACATACTGATATACACCTGAACATCAGCAGGAGAGGACTCTTTAAAGTAGAGACACTACATACTGATATACACCTGAACACCATCAGGAGAGGACTCTTTAAAGTAGAGACACTACATACTGATATACACCTGAACATCAACAGGAGAGGACTCTTTAAAGTAGAGACACTACATACTGATATACACCTGAACACCATCAGGAGAGGACTCTTTAAAGTAGAGACACTACATACTGATATACACCTGAACATCAGCAGGAGAGGACTCTTTAAAGTAGAGACACTACATACTGATATACACCTGAACACCATCAGGAGAGGACTCTTTAAAGTAGAGACACTACATACTGATATACACCTGAACATCCGCAGGAGAGGACTCTTTAAAGTAGAGACACTACATACTGATATACACCTGGACATCAACAGGAGAGGACTCTTTAAAGTAGAGACACTACATACTGATATACACCTGAACATCCGCAGGAGAGGACTCTTTAAAGTAGAGACACTACATACTGATATACACCTGAACATCAGCAGGAGAGGACTCTTTAAAGTAGAGACACTACATACTGATATACACCTGAACATCAGCAGGAGAGGACTCTTTAAAGTAGAGACACTACATACTGATATACACCTGAACATCAGCGGGAGAGGACTCTTTAAAGTATATTTTCTGAAGCCACCTGAAGTCAGGACAGGGTGTCTGACACGAGACGATGATAACTTCATTGAACATTATGACACTGCTTAGTTGAATACCCAATTCTGATTGGTCAATTAAGACATTTAACATGTTGTTAAAACTCGATAACACACTGTTGCTAAGGAGGAACAAGGGACTAAAAGCAGTCACATCAATGCAAACAATTTAACGTCAACTCACAGACCAAGAGAAGGAGAGAGTCCTGGGACTGTTTTACATTCACTTTGCTGTAACCCTTTAACTAACGGTATGTTCCTCCCTGTTACCCTTTACTTCCTCTCCTCCCTTACCCCCTGCTTGTCCTTCTGCTCCTTATTGATGCTAGGGTTCCTCTTCCTCCTCAGCTCCGTCACTTTCTCTTTGTAGCGCAGCTGACGGTCTGACGGAGCCTGAGGACACAAAGGGAAAAAACACAGAATTAGTTTTTATCTGAAACGAACATGTTCGTCTAATTTGCATATTTGTTAACCAGCAGAAATACCACATTAGTTTGAAGAGGCTCTACGTGTTCCCTCTCCTGTCGTGTGTTCTATAGGTTTTAATGCATGTAAATGGT